AAAAAAGTAACTCATAGTCAGGAAAAAAATCTCTATGTATATAAAACGGAGAGAGATCCAGATGAAAGGTGGACTAATCATTTACAGTTATAATGCAGTGGTCATTACAAGTTTAATTTTTCCAATCTAAAAGTTAAATCAAAATCAGTTGAAAAGGAGTGAAAAGGACCAGTAAACTATTTGCCAGTGCCCCGTTTGTAAATTTATTAAGCAGTTGGTTGTAATTTCTGTATTTCAGTTGTACATGTTCACATAGATGTGCCAACAGCTCAGACAGGTGTGTCTAGATACACACAGGTGCATCCATACTGGAGGTGAGGCTTTGTGTTTGCTGTAAGAAAAGGAGACAATTTTCTTTTTCGACTGGCAAAATGTTTTTTATCTTTTACAGTTGTTAGTTTTTTTATTCTGCAGGAACGTTTTCAGATCACTCAAAAATGTATTTGATATCATTTATAGCCAATTTGCACAAAAGTAAGATTTTTTTATATTCATAATTTGTAACATCTTTTAGGTACAACAAAACAGAAGATCTAGAACCCGGAGGCAAGGAGATTATGTCATACACTCATCTTATGATAGGAACAGAGAGCAGTGAAAATGGCGAACTAAAACCTTACAGGGATACTCATGATATAATAGCGGAATTTCCAGGCTTTGAGAGATTGCATTTGAATGTTAAATCTTTTCCACCTGTTAAAGTGATAACCAGACCTAAGATTTTTATTTTGAAGAAAAAATGAGGTCATTCATTCCAGTCTTGTTTTTTTTGCCAGCAACATCTACTGAAATAAATGTATTTTACTGTTTTGTGGAGTCTCACTTTTTATTTTGTTTTAATTTTGACCGTTTTGTTACCTTATTCTGAAAACAGGATGGGGAAATTGACGATAACATACTTTGTTGTATTGCCAACTACTTCTACTCTGATCTTTGCAAATGTCTTTATTTCTAAAAGTGGGTGGCATAAGCATCAAGGAAAAATTGCTATATTTTATGTACCCAAAACAATTTGCGTATTTGGTTTATTTACCATTGATAATTCTTATTTTTTTCTTGAACACATTCTTTCTTGAAGTTGTATGCACAAATTATTTTTCAAAAATATACAAGTATATTTTTGATATAATATTATTTGCTTTTTATAAGGAAGAAAACACACCATTCTATGAAAACTTGTTTTATTTCGCACTTAGTAAACTTTAACCCAAATTAATGTATAATAAATAAAAATATCTAAATTTATTATAGTCATTTCTACAGTACATTTAACTTTCAAAAGCTAACAATTAAAACTAGAGATTTATGAGAGCCTGCAAGCAAATCCCGCTCCCCATCCTAAACCATATAAAAGTTTAACCATATTGCACACATTATGTGTATTAACTATGTCTAATATTTGTGCTCATCACTTCTTACAAATGCAATCTGAGAAAAGGCTGAATACGCCCTCAATGCCTTAAATGTATCTATCTCCTAAATCTTCCTCATACCACTGTGTGCTATTATACTAGCACTGGTATCTCTATAAAAACTAATTTAAAATTAGGCACTTAAGAAGGAAATTTTAAGTAACATGTACTGTTAATTAGGCCTGCCTATGACTGTAATTGGGCTGCTTTGCGCTTGGTGAGAAAGGGAATGAGCTGATTGTCTTCATGCTTTTCATTGAAAATCAAGCATGTGAAAGAAATCTGGAATATTATTATGTAATTAAGACATCTTTTGATCTTAAACCCATGATGACATACACTGATGACATGATCATGGATTTCTTTTTGACTAGTAGATTAAAGGAAACAATTCAGTGGTCTCTATACAATCAATGGGACTACACACTTGGATGAGTGATGTTGGAATTTCTTGAAGGACACAATGTAACATTAAAGTATTGATTATACAATAAAACAACTACAGACTTTAGCTGCACCTTAGTCAACATCACCTCTGAGGACTGCAAACCAATACAGAGGCCATTCAAAGTCTATTACTGTATAGAAGCCAATGCCAGGTACGTCAAATTTCAAGGTCTTAGGGCACATTCCCAATGAAACTTGGTCTATGTAGATTGATCCAAGTCCCCAGGGACCCTGGCTGAATGCAATCAGATTAACATGCCTCCTCCTGTCCAATGTACTCATATAATCAACATCTTTACTACTCAATGCCAGGGGGAAGTGCGTCCATTTCTTAATCTGATGACATTCAGCAAGTCCCAGCATAGTTGGATTGATCTATGTAAAATGAAAATTTCATTGGGAAAGAGCCCTTAATCCCACAGATAAATGAAGTGTCTCAAAGACTTGTGAAGATTCTTTTGTCTATAGCTACTTGTATTTGTCTGGTCTTACCAGCCAATAAGTGTTTCTCATTGCCTGTCTTGAATATCCCCACATCCATTGACTGAGGGTTCTACTACAGAAACTAAAGATGGGGAACCAGTCTGTACAACTCATCCTGGTAGTTCCTCTGGGATTTACACATTTATATTAATTCGTTTTTTTTAACCCTGCTAATATTAAGCAATCCAGGATATGTTCGCCTTTCATTAAAGTAGCAATGTATGCCATTACTCAATCCTATACCATCAACATACCACGATGATAATTACATCATAAACAACAGTAAGTTTGCTATTTAGGTACTTCAACCCATTACCAATATTGGTTCCAAAAATTAAAAAATTCCCATTGGCACCTAAGCATTGGTATTATAGAGCAAACTGAATCATTTATGTCCCAGAAATAATTTTGTCCGATTCACAAGTATCCTTACACCCATCACAGTGAAAACGATATGCTCTCAATGATGTTCATTTAATAAGATTTTAAAAATAACTTTATCAGATCAGCCTATTGGTTTCCAAACTCTCTGAATAATGCCTATCACGCAGAGGACTCCCGTTCATTCTAATTTCCGTATCAGAGGAGTCATCCTGCAAGTCCAAGGGCTCATCAGAATCTGAGTTGTCTGCCCTCTCTGGTTTGTCGTAGTATTTGACACGATTTGATGCACTGAAATAGCGAACAGAGGCTCCCGGGGAATCCACTGGAGTGGAGAACGCTTTCAGTTTCAGTTTCTTCATCATCAGGAAATTGTCTATAACCCAGAACATTATAGCCTGCAAAAAATAATTTATAGAAGGCATGAATTTCAAGGAAAAGTCTGAAATTATTTCAGAATCTGTTGAATCAAATAAATTATTTTTAACTTTGCAGATATATGGCAACTTCAAAGGCCCGAACCTTAATGGAATAAAATAATTCATACAATACATAATTTAGCAGATATTCAGTCATGTGTTGTTTACTTTTTAACACTATACTCTTTTCACTAAAATAATTATTTAATCATGAAATGGCATTGCAAGGAACGGATTTTCACTGCCCTCCAATAAATTAAAATTCCACGTTTTCCTGGTGATGTCACATAAATTATTTGTAATTTGACATGGTTTTGAATGCTATGTCTTAACATTTATTTACTTACATTGACAATTAAAGGCACTACAAACATCACTATAATCAGTTCTAGGTGTGGGTCTTTGATTGGTGACAAAATCACATCTCTCACCTGTAATTAATAAATACATAAACGCACCATTCATTGAACAGCATTGCTACATGTGTTTCAATCAGGATTTATCTGCTTATTTTTTGGTACTTTGTAATTAAAAACTATTTAATATTTTTACGTGTTCTGTAAGTAAAATTTAACTTTCTTGTCTCATTTACTGGTGTTTCAAAATTGTCAAAGTTCAGAATCAAACCAATTAATTATGTAAATACTTTGACTTTCACTTTCACTGGTGATGGTAAAATAAAAGAGTCTACACATTTAACTTTCTGAAAGGTTTTTGAAGTCCTTCAGGTTGGTAATAAAAGCAAAAATATAATTTACTGAAATTGTCAGGAATTTTTTTCTATATAATATATGGAAAAAACTGGCAACATTTTTGTGATACAACACTAGTCTTTGAATTTCTGCTTTGTAATTAGTTCTCTACTGATATCACTAAAAGCCATTCGATCTCTACACTTAAAAGTCACGATATTACAGTTCTGAATCCTAATCATCACCTTGTCCCAAAAACTGAACTGCACCAAGAGTGTTATAACAATCTTCTCAAAAACCATGACTAATATATAGAGAGCACACTGTCCTGCCCATGTGTTACACTGTGGAGGGTCACCTGCAAGAACACAGACATTTAATATTATTTGCAGTAAAATTCAAATTATTCATGAGAAAGTATTAAATTATTCACACTAAATGATAACTCTGAAAGTTTGTCATGCTTTTGGTCTGTCTGCTACACCTTGGTCACGACATTGTCCACTAAGTGCCACTTTGTTTTTCCACCAGCTACCGCAGTGACACCTAGTGGCAAATGTTGTGGCCAAGGTCTAGTGAACAGACT